GGAAATTAGGGACCGTTCCTTAAAACGTTTAAACGAAAAGGTACCAAAGGTAACGTTAAGTTTAGGTCCCGTTACGGGTTCCGTAACCTAAAAAAAGGAACCCCTACGTAGAAAAGGTAAACGCGTTAAAAGGAATACCGTACCAAGGTTGTGATCTTCAAATAAGAACTACAGTATAGTCACGTTTCTGCCAGTAGTTAAAAATAAAATCTGTTGATTTGGGATGAAAAGAATACTGAACATTATGCTGTCTTAGACTGTAGTGTGTCCAAAGTTAGAGGTGCGGGTTTCATGTGTTTCTCTCTTTTTCTGTGTCCTTTCCTTAGTTTGATGTGCAAGCAAAAGTAGTAAGTTATGAAATGAATTAGGGCTGCACGATATTGGAAAAAAACTGACATTGCGATATTTTCTTCCCCTGTGATATATATTGCGTTATGAAAAAATACAGGAATTGAAGAAAATACTTCTTTTTTTTGTCCGCAAACCATCCTTTCTTGAACTTTAATGCTATACAATTGGTATTTTTTTAATGATATTTAACCGGATGAAGGATTTTAGTCACTGTCTTCTGGATCTTAAGTTATCAGAGCAACAAGCTGAGCTAGCTCGGTTATCCTGCTGTGATCTGATCAAGAATGATTGTGATTGGTGGTTTGCTGTGCATGTCACTCACTCAAGTACCCCTGACATGAGAGCCGCGCGAGTTTTCCTTTTGTAGCAAGCAGCAAAATAATTGTAATATGACGTGTTTGAGTTCATTTGCCTACTTAATATCGCACGTCTTAAAAAAATTAATTAAAAAATCGCACGTCCTGCACAAACGCGATGATTGTCACGACATGATATATCGTGCAGCCCTAAAATGAATGTAACCTTTCTGTGTACAGCTCTTAGAGATGGAGATACTGATAGTTGTATTCCAATCTTAACTTAAACAAGGGATATGTGTAGCCAAACTGGTCTCAGAATACAATATCTTTTTTAGTTTTGTGTCCCTAAATTACAACCCCCCCCCAAAAAAAAGGAAATGAAAAGAAAAAAGAGGCAGCTTTTTGCACACCATCTCAGGAAATTAAGTTTCCGCAGTTGGTATGGTATTTATAATTTGTTTTAAAAATTCCTTTTTATGCCACTTAGTGCTTTTGTTTTTCTACCTGCTTGCCTTTTTTCATGTCTTGCTGCATTAGATAATAATAACTTTAACAAGAGCTAAAGTTGATCTGATGTTTGCTTTTGTTTGTTTTGTTTAAGGGGCATGCACTTTTGCTCTTGGGACTAAATAATTGACCCAAATCGAGGGGGTTGTGGGAGAAAGGCTGTAGGGAGGCGGTGTAATGGTGTGGTTGGCAGGAAGACTTCATCCTTAGTTGCCATTTGAGTTTACAAAATATAGTGATGAAGTGAGAGCTAATTACTTTGAAGGACAAAACAGGTTGTGGAAAAGGCAACACAGAGTTTGTACAAGCGTACATTAGGAAAAAAAAGTAATTATCTTGGCTGCATAACAAACATTCTATATATCACTGATTCAACTGCTTCGCTTTCTGCACAACACCATTTTTGCTTCTTAAACTCGCACAGAAGTTAAGGATAGCTATGGTAACTATGGACTGATGAGGAACAGTTCTTGAAACCAAATGTTCATGTTTGATCCGCTGCAAAATGGACTAGTTAAGCATTTTTAAATGACTATGACAACAAAGTAAAGCATTTCATGACAGCATGTCAGAACGCACTGATTTCTCCTGTCTAGTATCCCTTTAACATTTCATGATGGGTCCTACCTGATTATACCGTTTAGCCACCCTCTGTGGCTTCTGTGTCTATGTGTACATATGGTGTTTGCCTGCCTGTGTCAGTGTGACTTGGTTGTATCTGTGTCTAAAAAAGCAGCACTGGGAGGAGGGGTGGTGGCTAGTACTCTCCATAAGGCATCGTTACAAAGACTGCCAATCAAAAAAACAACTAACACAATGTAAAAAAAAGAAAAAAAGGTTAGAACTAGACAAATCCAAGCCAGAAAACACACCCAGTAATGTGTGCTTTTACTGGTAACATTCCCACCATGTGAACAAGATGCTGTTACGCCAACAGTAAGGTATACAAACATGTTTTGCTATCTGGAATATTTATAACCGCCTTTAGTCTAGTAATGTTGTTGGTGTTAGCAGGACAGCAAAGTGATGGTGCTTTTTGGATCCCCTTCTACCAGCAGCTGAGCAGTAAAAACAGTTCACTGTTGCCTACCTGGTCGTCATGGTGAGGTAGTAAGAGTAGCAATCAGGGATGGAAATTCCACTAACCATTGGTGAGTTCTCACTAACCAGGATCTAAAGGGTTGTAGTACAGAAGGCACTGAGGTGACATTCAACTATTACTGTCAGAAAAGAGCCCCAAGAGGCTGTAATAGTTCAAGTTATATTCTTGATCTTTTCTTACCAGATGCCTGTAGTTAATTGGGGTACAAATAATACATAATATAAACTGTAAGCATTCCTCATTCAAAGAGATGGTTGCCTCAAGTTAAAAACATACGTACTAGCCTTTAAAGTGTCCAGGTGCTCCTGGAAATTCCATCCCTGGTAGTGACACACAGTCGACTGTTGCCTACCCTGGTCCCTTTATGGTAAAGTAGTAGGCGTAGCAATATACAGTATACATATTCTATATTCTACAGTAAATATCATTATTTTTGGTCTAAACTGACAACCTGACAAAGATATGTTTGTGACTGTATGCATTTGTATGAATTATTTTAAAAGGAAATAAACTGTGGAAAGGTGAAGTTTGGGTCTCATTCATCTCTAACCTTAAGTTTTTGTTTTTGTGTTGGAAAGGACTTACCATATTTGAAGCTGATGCACATGAGTTGCTGTGTGTCGAGTATATACTAAGATTATACACTTTGTATTGATCTTCATATACAAGAAGTAATCCAAGACAGCAAGACAACTATAAAGCTAACTGTAAATAACTTAACAAATATATAAATATTTATCCAATGATTTAGAATAGACCTTTTTTTATGATGTTTCTGGGGCTGTCTCACTGCTGAATACTTTTTGTTAGATATTTTTCCAGCCATAAACAGTTGAGTTACAGCAATGAATAGACCAGTCAGTGATATTAAATGAATAATAATAATAAGAAGAATTGATAAGTAGGTAAATTAATAAGCAACTATTTAGAATTGATTGAGCGTAAATAATACAATAACAGATCGTTCAAGTACCTTTTTAAGAAAAAAATGCCTAGAAATAGATGTTTCTTGATAATCACATTTAAGAATTTTCATTTTTCTTTTGACCTATACTGGGCGAATATCTATGTACAAAAATAACAACATATGAAGACATCACTTTTGGCAGTTTTCACAATGTTTTATAGACCAAATGTTTATATGACGTATCTAGAGAATAATCGTCAGGCAAATCCATTCAACCGTCTTGGACACAATTCCAGCAAATTCAGTATGCACATGCCTAAATACTGAAATCACAGAATTATATTGAATTTAGAAAAAGCACCACTGAAGCAATGGTCTTGTTTCACCCTTGTGCTTCTAACGATATACGCTTTTTAAACTGTTGCCACATTTCTGACTACTACTTTATTCAAATGGGGCTAGTTAAACAAACTTCCAAAAATCCAGGACATGTTTTTTAAATAAGCTCCTCTTCAATGCACGTAAAAGCAATAAATAGTGGTCTTTTCACTCAACTAGCTGGAGTTTGCATCCTTCAACCCTGAATATAAAGTTACTAGTTGATTCCAACAGATGTCACTAGTACAGTTGAAACAGTCATACTGAGGAGAAAAACATCCAAAACAGATGTAACGACTGAATCTGTGAAATGGTTCTGCTTCTTGCATCTGTTATCCAGTTTAATTTATTTATGCAATAAATCTATACACATCTTTGGGTGTTCCTAAAGACATATACAGCGCACCTGCGTCACATTAGTGTAGTGGTTGTCAACACTTCTGGAAACAGTTTCCAGCATTCAATGAGTTATTGACTCCTCAAACATAAAGCTTGGAGTCATTAAATAAGAGATGATGCAATAAGACCTGCATTCATAATATTGAGAATCAATTAACAAGGCATGGAATACAATTACAACATCATCAATATATAAACACTGCTTTTGTTTGTGTCGTGGAGTATCCAGAAGAGTAACGTCACCAGCACTCTGTCAATGATTTAAAGGCCGCTAGATGAAACAAATTGAAATTGAGAACTCAGGTTTTCTCCCAACCTACGTAGGTACGTTTTTCTATAGAAATGTGATACAGTATAGATATTCCAGAATATATTCAACAGTTAAAAGTACAAATTATGAAAGGGGAAATCTATTCTTCTGCTGTCGTTTTTTGTTGGGGAAACAGAAATGGTTGTAAGCTGCATGCTGCCAGTCATGTGAGACCTCATCTTGAACCGACTCGAGCTGAATTCTGACACGGGACCTCTGCTTTATCTCTTTCTTTTTATCTATCACTCTTTTGCTCCCTGCATACCCCCAAATCTCTCCATCACACTCTCTTTTTTTACTATTTGTCACTTCCTCTTTCCCTCTCTGGTTCATCCATTCAAAGTTACAGCCACTGGAACAGGCTCACTGGCAGCTGGAAACTTAAGATGGTTTAATCTAAACCTCAGGAAGCAGGATGGGAACCAGATGCAGTAAAAAAGAAAGAAAGAAAACAGGCAACGGGCACGTTTTATCCAGCTAGGATGGGGACCTCCAAAGGGCACTGTGCAAAGAAGAAGAGACATTTTGCATGAGGTTGCTGAGACTTTAAGATCTGCTTAAACCTCAAACCAGAGGTGTTAATGCTGACCACCGTCAGATTTAGAGACACATCTTACTCTTTGAATATCCACTAAGATTTAAGAGATGATGGCTTTTTAGAAGCAAAGGAACATT